AAATACTGTTGCTAAATAAAAACCCAAGTACAGCTGGATTAAAGTCTAGATCTACAGAGGTTTTTAATTTAAAAACCCAACGGATTCAGGCAATCTGCAACAAATGTCTTTTGCATTCTTTGGCATCAACCAAAGCAAGTATTCCCGGAATAAATGCCTAATAAGGAATCAAAGAGTCTTCAGTATAAAGCATATAGTGTATATATAAACAGGATATACTTTTGCAGGAGACAAAAGAAACAACAAATGGGCACAGTGTACAGAACTATCTCACCAAATATGCAATTCTAATGCTTTGCTCACTTTCAACAACCTATATACATATGTATTTGATCAGCATTTCCTACTCATATAAGGGTGTTACAAAAGGACTGCTATAGTGCTATTATGCATCTAATAATAATTCACATTGAAATGAAGTCAGCAAGTGCACTTTCAATACATATCAAGAGGGTTGGTTTTCACATTGGCCAGGAATTATTCTTTAACATCCCACCTTTAGAGTTGGGGTAAGGACTGTATGCCCAGTACCCCTCGGAGCCTGGGACACAGAGGACATTCAACTAACAATGACTGATCGACTAGGGCTTAAAAGAAAGGCAGATGTTGCCCTCCAAAATGGATATTAATGAACAACTACCTCTAGAGGGCACTCAAGATTTGAGTCTGTATTAAAATTACAAGAACTTGAAAACCATGGAAGAAAAAGGCAGGCATGGGAATTTCAGGAAGAATTAGTTGAGCAGGGTGCTGTGATGCTAACCTAAAGCCTGGACTCCAAGGGTAACCTGCAAAACAAAGATGGGCAGTCTCCTCCAGTGCTATTGACAGCCTCCAAAAATCAACAGGAGGTACAGCTAGCTGTTATTTCTGACTCAAAAGCAAAGAGTTTTAAAGATTGGAGGTATATTTATGGAGATCTGGTGGCATAGTATGTTAAGATGAAGAACAAAAGGTTTTCAATTCAAACTTACTAGCTGCTCCAAGGAAGAAACATACACAGTCTTTCTCCATAAGTATTTACAGCCTTTGAACCTCAATGAAGGTGATTATGAGTTGGAATCAACACCAATAGGTTTAGTTTAGGCAGGTGTTTTCATGCAACACATAACAAAATTATGAATAATTTCCCTGCAACTGACTTAATTTAAAATTAAATAATGCTGCCATGATAAAACTTTCTGATGAACAATAATCAATCACATTTTCAAATGTTTTAAAATATTATCTAAAATAATCCAAATAGAAATCATTCATTTATGTCTTATAATGTTTAATCAGAATATGTAATTCATCTGGTGACAAAGTGGAAATAATTTACAACCCTGATTAAGTTAGATTCAATTTCATCAAGTGATGTTCTTTGATGCCCTAACTTTTCTCAATGTTATCAATTATTGGTTTTTACTGTTGTTATGTGCCATTGACTCAGAACTGACACATAGCTGATCCTTCCAGTGGGGTTTCAGAGGCTATAAATCACATAGGAGGAGACTGTCTGTCTCTCTCCCAAGCAAAAGTAGCAAAGTCATTTAATTATTTCAATCTTTTATTAGTGATCATCAGACTTATTTTGCTCTTATCATAAAAGCAAAGTGGTAGCAAAGCAGTCTAATGGTAAGAAGCTGCCCTGCAATCCCAAAGGCATGCAGTTCAAAACTACCAGCTGCTCCAGGAGAAGGATGGGCCATCTCCTTCCATGAGATTAACTGCCTCTGAAAACTCATTGACAGGCCAGCTATGGGTCAGTTCCAGCTCAACCGTACACAACAACAACCACCACCATAAAAGAAGCTTTGGTGGCTTAGTAGTAAAGAATTGCCCTGCCAATTCAAAGAAACGAAGTTCAATTCCACCAGTTGTTCCTAGGAGAAAGACAGGCAATTTTCTCATAGGCAATTACTGCCTCCGCAAACCCATTCCATCTGTGCTGACTTGACGGTACTAAAAAATAATATCATAAACATCAACAAAATCCTTGGAAGAGAGAAGAGATTAAACAGTTTACATAATGTATTATTTAAAATATTTTGTTTTCAACAACAACCAAAAAATAAAAAACATGTAAAAAGACAATAAAGTAAGGCTCATACACAGAGAGAAAGAAATCACCAGAAACTGCCTTTAAGGAAGACAGATGTTGGAGTTACCAAACAAAAACTTCAAAGAAACTACTTTAAATATGTTCAAGAATCAAATAAACAAAGGACATGCTTTTATTGAGAATATGAGAATAATATTATACAAAACAGAAAATATCAGCAAGGAAATGTAAGTTACTATATACATTTTTTTAAGAAATGTGAAACAATGTTGTTAGGTGTCATCAAGTTGATTGTGACTCACTCTGGCCCTATGAACATCCAAGAGGAGCCCTGCCCTATCCCGCACTATCCTCATCATCTGCATCATGCTGAAGTCCGCTGCTAGAGACACTGTGCCAGTCATCTTGTTGAGGGTCTTTCCTGTTTTAAATGTGCAATAACTGAAATGAAATCTCACTAGAGCTTCAGCAGAAGCTTCACGTTAGTAAGATAAAGAACACATAAACCTGAAGACAAGTCAACTTTAGTGGGACTGCATGGATTGAAAGAAAAAAGAATGAAGAAATATGAACAGAGTATTAGATAAGTGGCCTAGTGGTAAGGAATTGTGTTGCCAATGCAACAGTATGCAGTTCAAATCCATCCTTGCTTGTCATTTTCTCCCTCTGAAAACCAGCTAAAGGACAGCTCTGGGGTGGTTCCAACTTGACAGTACACAACAACAACCAACACTAAGTATACCAGCACAAGTATAAAAGGAGTTTCAGAAAGAAAGGAGAGCAGGGCAGAAGTACTATTTGAAGAATGAATAACCAAGAATTTCCTAAATTTAATTAAAAGCGCCAAAACATGTTAAAAACAATGTATATAAACTTTCTGAACTTTGTAAGTAAACAAGTATAAATTTTTTTAAAAAAATTAAGAACAAAGCAAAGTCCCACTAATCTACACACCTACAAAGTTCACTGAAATTCACATGAAATAATTTCAAAAAGAACATGTAAACAATCACAATCAGATCACTGAAAAGAAAGGGAGACTTTTTAAAGTACTTAAATTAATTAAACAAATTAAAATGTCTAACCAAGTTCTTTCCTTTCATCACCCTTATCTACTTATTAATTTTTGCTTCTCTTTCTTCCATCTTTTAAAATCAGACAATGTGTGCATCAGGATTGCATAATTTCACCATACTCATGCAATCTTTAGGTAGAACAAATAATATGAGATGGTGAACTACATAAAGTAGAATACTAGGTGTGGAGTCAATAACAACCAGTAATGTGAGATGACACAACTCTATGTGATAAAAGAAATAAGACTTAAAACACTGAATGATGAAGATCAAAGATTATAGTCTTCAGTATGGATTACACATTAACGTAAAGGGAAAAATATCTTCACAACTGGATCATTCAGCAACACCATGATAAATGGACAAAGCATTGAGGTTGTCAAGGATTTCATTTTACTTAGATCCTTAATCAACACTCATGGATGCAGCAGTCAAGAAACCAAAGATGTTTCACACATTCCTTAATTCACACTGTATCTAATATGATCATTCCCAAACACTGAAACACAAGGTATACAAATTTTGTACACAAAGCAATATAAAATAAAAAAGTAAAAAAAAAAAAACCAACCAACCAAACCTGATGAGATTAAAATTGGTCACAATGAAAATTTCATACAGGTAAAACTGATCCCCAGTTATTATCCTCATCTTGCTTGCTTTAATCGGATTTTTCTCACTGCCAATGGATCAATTTTAACACTTACACAGGAAACAAAAGACACTGGTTTGATATAAGCTGATAAAATGTTACTTGAGGTTTAGTTCAAACACTATTAAAAGAGTAAAAATCTTCATTATTTTTGAACAGAATAACAAAACCAAATGATGTGTTACACTGGGGAAATCTTCTGCAAATAGATCTTTACAATGTTAAAAGCAAAGATGTTCCTCTGAGGACTAAAGAGCGCATATCTAAGCCATGATCTTTCCAGTAATCTAGGATGCATATGAAAGCTGGTCACCAAAATACTGACACAATTATAGTATCAATGTAAAATACTGAATATAGCACGACTGACAGAAGGAGAACTAAATTTATCTAAGAAGCAGCACCACCAGAATGCTCCTTACAAGGCAGGATGGTGTGACTTTGTCCTACATACTCTGATCATGTTATCAGGAGGGATTGGTTTGTTATGCCTGGTAATATAGAAGGTCAGTGAAAAAGGAGACCTTCAACAAAATAAATTGACATAACTGGCTGCAGAAAAAGGTCCGCATAGCAAGTACTGTGAGAACAGCGCAGGGCTGGGAGGTGTTTCATTCTTTCAGAACCAAGTCAACGGAATGTACTAATAGCAGCAATAATATGCTTAAGTAATGGTGGGATTTTGGAAAACACTAGCTCCTGTTAAAGATGCATATGTGATTAGGCATTATTGTCATGACCGGAGTCCAGAACGAAGGCTGCATAGTGGAGTGGATCTGGGGGGAGGGACTGTAAAACAATGAAGGAATTTTTCT